GGTAGCGGCCCCTCCTGCGTGCCCTCTGCCGGCGTTTCTCGTGTCTGGTCCGTTTCTTCTTCTTTCTTCCTTGTTTCGTTTTTCTGCTTTCTCGTAGTTTTTTTTCTTTCGTGTTATTCGTCCTGGTGTTTTTTTTTTCTTTATTTTGTGTATTTTTTTTCCTTCTCTGTCTGTTTATATGCGTCCGCTGTCTATGTCCCTGTCTCTTTTTTCACTCTATGTACCTGCCTGTCTGTTTGTCATACTTCTATATATCTATCTCCGTCCGTCCGTTTGCGCACATCTATTTATCTATCGTGTTTGGTGCGCGACTCTGTTCGTTTTCCTTTGTCCTGTTTTATCTTGCTTGGCCTTGTCTCCGTCTGGTGTTCGGCCAGGGTTGTTTGCTGTTGTTGTTGTTGCTGATTTTGTTGTTATTATTACTGTTCTTGTTATTGTTTTGTTGTTATCATTATTGCTGATATTGCTACTGTTATTACTATTATTTATTTCTAAGATTGTCTTTCTTAATTTGTTATTTGAAATCTACGGATATTGCTGTTTTTCTTTTGGTTATTGCTGTCGCTTCTGTACCAGCATTGCTTTAAATGATGGTGGGAGTAGATAGTCGTAATAGGTGTAAGACTAGCGAAGGTGTCGTCATCTATCATCAGTCATGCGTAATGCACGAGGAAGTGATGCCGATGACGCAAGGAAGAAGTTGAAATCTTTGGACGAACGAAAGAGGAGTGATTCATCTCCTGGAATCCTTCCCCTCCCCCTCCCACTCTCCCTTTTCTTCCCTCCTGTCCCTCCCCCCACTCTCCCTCTTCTTCCCTCCTGTCCCTCCCCCCACTCTCCCTCTTCTTCCCTCCTGTCCCTCCCCCCACTCTCCCTCTTCTTCCCTCCTCTCCCTCCCCCCACTCTCCCTCTTCTTCCCTCCTCTCCCTCCCCCCTTTTCCTCCCTTCTCCTCCCCCTCCACTCTGTCTTGACTTTATGATGTCATTGTTGGAGACGAGGGAAGGGAGGGAGAGAGGGGGAGGAGAGGGAGGGAAGGAGGAACAGAAGGATAGAGAGGGGGAAGGAAGGGAGGGAGGAGGGAGAGAGGGGGAGGAGAGGGAGGGAAGGAGGGGCAGAAGGATAGAGAGAGGGAAGGAAGGGAGGGAGGAGGGAGAGAGGGGGAGGAGAGGGAGGGAAGGTGGGGTAAAAGGATGGAGAGGGGGGCAGGGAGGGAGGAAGGAGGGGGAGGGAGGGAGGGAGGGAGGGTGAAGAGAGTGACTGAGGGATGGATGGAATGGGGGAGTATATAGGCCCTCCCACAATTAACCATAAGGGCTTCCGCATGCAGTTGTGTAAGAGGAGGAGGGGGAGGAGGAGGAGGAGGAGGAGGAGGAGGAGGAGGAGGTCGCGCAAGGCACAGGTAGGCTCCCCGCTTCTTAGCTTTGCTTTCAAGGGGCGTGGCTAAGTAGTGTCGGTTGAGGGGGAGATAGAGAGAGAGAGAGAGTCCTTAAAGGGGGGAGGGGGGGAGGAGGGACGGAGCTGAAGGTCACTATTTCTTCTCCCCCCCCTCCTCCTCTCCCTTCTTCTCTCCCTCGCCTGCTTTCCATTTCCTTTCTTTGACTTTATCCGCCCTTTTCTTCGTCTTCCTCTTTCCGCCCCTTAATCCCCCTCCCCCTCCTTCCCTTTCCCCCCTCCCCCCTCCCCCTCCCCCTCCCCTATCTCTCTATCCCTTCTCACCCCTTTCCATCCACTCTTCTTCCCTCCCCTTTCCTCTCCTCTCTCTATCCCTTCCATCCCTCCCCCTCACCCCCTCTTTTGTCTCTCTACCCTATCCCCTCCACCCCCCTCCCCTCCCCCGCGGCCCCACAATGCACCTAGGGGAAGGAAAGTCCGTAGGCCTATGCAGCTCTTTGTGAGGCGTCTCTCGGGACCCGGATGTTTCGTCTCCCCCTCCCCCTTGTCTCTCTCTCTCTCTCTTTTTGTTCTTTCTCTCTTCCGTTTCTTTTCTTTTTCTTTTCTTTTCTTTAATTTTCTTTTTTTCTTTTATCAAGTTGTCAGGGATGTAATTGTCCCTCATTTTAGCTGTCAGGAGGTTTGGTATCGTTATTATTCTGGGTTGAGGATCTGTCCGCTCTCTCTCTATCTATCTATCCATCTATCTATCTGTCTGTGTGTCTCTCACTCTCTCTCTGTCTCTCTTTCTTTCTTTCTCTTTCGCTTTTCTTTTTAGGTTTATTGATGGTGGGTAACGTGTAGTAAGAGTGCTCTTGCGTTCGGTTCTATTAAAGTTGTTATTATTATTATTTTTTTTATGTTATTTATACTGTGTTTATTTTTTTTACACTTTAGCTACGTAAGCACTTGAGGAGGCGATGGTGACGAAGCAGAATTTTCATGTCGTATTTCCTTTACATGCATAATTATTTATTTTTCTATTTATATATTTATTTATTTACTTATTTATTTATTTATTTATTTATTCATTAATTCATTCACTGCATTCATTTATTTGGATTTTTGTCTATTTGTACGTTGGCGTCTGCAGGTGTGAACGTCATACCCGGTAATAATATTGCTTATTCTTGCGGGGAATTAAAAAGATAAAAGTTCTTGGCAAAGAGATACTGGGAAATGGACTTGGGCTCCAGGCTGGCATCTCCCTCTCGACGCACGGGGCTCTTCCTGGAATGAGGGACAGGGAGGAGGAGAGTAAGAGGTGCGGAAGGAGGAGAGGGAGAGTGGGAGAAGAAAGAAGAAAGAGAAGGAGAAGGAGACGAAGGAGCGTGGGAGGACAGGGAGAGGGAGGAGGAAAATAAGAAGTGGAGAAAGAGGACAGGGAGGAGAAGAAGAGGGAGAGTGGGAGGAAAAAGGGAGGAGAGGGAGAAGGGGAAGGCGAAAAGAGGACCGTACAAGAAGAGCAACTGAAAAGGGAGGAAGAAATGAAAGAAAGCGACAGCGATCGGGTCTCAGATGGGCGTGGGCATAGCCGGAGAAAGAAGCGTGGAAGAGGCAGATACAGTGCTAAATGAAGAAAAAAAAATAAGGAATGAAAGAGAGAGCGAGAGCGAAAGAAAGAGAGAGAGAGAGAGAGCGCGAGAGGCGCCGAGGGCGTGGGCGCTGATGTATGGCCCAAGGTCATTGTCAGCGTCGCGGCGGCGGCGACGCTCCGGCCGCACTTTCGCTTTCCTCGCCCGGGCGCTGCCAGCCCCGCACGGGGGGGGGGAGGGATTTTTTTTATCTGTTATTTAATTACTGTTGCTGTTGTTGTTATCATTATTATTGTTGTTATTATTATTATTATTATTTCATTATTGTTATTATTATTATTATTATTTTTATTATTATTATTATTATTATTGATTATGATAGTGGTTATTGGCATTATTGTTATTAGTTATTAGTATTATTACTAGTATTAAGAATTATTATTATTGATTATTGGTATTACGAATATGAGTAATGATGATAATAGTGATGATGATGATAATAAATGTAATAATAGTAATAGTAATATTATTAGTAGTATTGTTGTTGTTGAGATTATTGTTGCTATTGTTACCATCATCATAAAGTGATATGTGATTCGTGTGTGTGTGTGTGTGTGTGTGTGTGTGTGTGTGTGTGTGTGTGTGTGTGTGTGTGTGTGTGTTTTATTTATTCAACGCACACCTCTGCGCAGCGGCGTGGGGCGCCTCGCCTCTTCGTTTCCATATGCCATAAAGCCCATGTTTAGCGAGCGCCGTCGAGTGGTTTGGACAGATGACACTCAGGAACGGTTTCCCTTCTCGGTTTGAATGTTTCTATTTATGTATATGTATATGTATGTTTTTATGTATGTATTTTTTCTGGGGGGTGGGGTGGGTAGTAAATTAGGGTCCCTTATTTGTGTAGATTGGTGAGTAAGGAGAAATTCCTGGCGAGACGTCCCGAGAGCGTCCCGAGAGGGTGACGGCGCCGTGCCCTGCGTCAGGAGTGAGGCGAGGGGGGGGGAGGCGCTTGGGGATGCCATATTAGCGCTGCCAAGGAATGTGTCGGCAGACCGATAACACATGTTGATGAGTGGGCAAAGAGTACCGAGCGGACGCCGACCCCGACAGCTGCACGAGAGGTGTCGGCTTCAGGCCTACGCGCGCGCACACGCGCACACATGGGCATCAACATGCACACCCACACAGCATGAGCACGCGCTCTTTACACACACAGTCATATACGCATACAGACGCACATGCACGTACACACACACACACACACACACACACACACACACACGCACACACACACACACACACACACACACACACACACACACACACACACACACACACACATACACATACACACACAAACGTACATGACAATATTTGTTCACACGTTGAAACGTACATCCACGGTTATATATTCCTTAAATGTTGACTTGTTAAGTATCCATGGATTGGAAGAGAGAGAGAGAGAGAGAGAGAGAGAGAGAGAGAGAGAGAGAGAGAGAGAATTTTAAAGGAGGATCTTTTTGGGAACAGCGCCAGCAGATGTTTGAGATGAATAAGGACTTTTTTTTTTTTTGGGGGGGGGGGGGGGTTGGCAACGGACAACAGGTGCGACGAGTAAGAAAAGAACACGGTGATGGCGCTAATGATCAGAAAAAATGGTGATGACGACGACGTAGGCGATGACTGGAGGAGGGTGGCTGTGGGGAGGGGGGGGGCGAGAAGAGCAGGAGGTTTCCATCATCCATCATCTTCGTTTTCGTCTTCTTTTTTTCTTCTTCTTCTTTTCTTTTTCTTGCTTTCTTCATTTTTCCTCTTGTTTTTAGCAGGTTATAGTCGTGGCTGCCTCTGGTTACCTCCTCCTGATGAATTGTTTGTTTATATTTATTTTCGTGTGTGTTTCTTATCCTCTCTCTCTCCTCTCCCCTCCCCTCCCCCCTCCTCTCCCTCCCTCTCTTTCTTTCGCTGTGGATTGGTCAATAAAAGGCTAATATTGTCGCCTTGAGCTCCAGGCAATCTTTATCTTGCGTCTTTTATTAGGCATGTTTTTTCGAAGGCCAGGTGGGTGGGGGCGGGAGGGGTGTGGGCGGCGAGGGGAGGTGGGCGGGCGGGTTATTGGGCGCGGGGGCGGCCGAGCGGGAAGAGTAAACCTCGGGCGCCGTGCCATTAGCATATGGTGTCCGGGCACCCGATGGCCCAGTGGACGCGGGGCGGCGAGGGCCGGGCATTACCCGCCTTCCCTGGGTACGCCCGAGTGAGCACGGGCCCGCGGGCGCCCCGGGACCCTCCGGCGCGCCCCTCACCGCCCATGCCCTTCTGCGGGAGACGCTGCCGCCAACGGCTCGCCCGCTCCCGGCCGCTGCCCTTCCTCCTCCTCTGGTCTGCTCTCCTCGCTTCGCTTTGGGGGTTTCCTCGCTCTCGTCCTCGTTATTTCTCCTTTTCATCCTTTCGAACGCCACAGGGAATGGCTGTCAGTATTACGGTTGGTTTATTTTTCATGTTTTCTTTTCTTATTTTGCTTGCCCCTCTTTCTTGTTTTGTTTGTCCTTTCCCCCCATTATCTTGCTCTCTCTTTTTCCTTTTCTTTTTAAATCTTGTTTTGATTTTGATTTTCTTCATCCTTGTTATTCTTTTATTTTTTCATCTCTTGAACAGTTACCCTTTAATATTTTCCTTCTCATTTTCTATTTTCTATTTTGGTTTTCCCTTCCATACAAAGCACCGGGTTCGACGCCTCGCACGCGATGAGGGACGAATCTCTTTCTTTTTCTTTTTCTTTTAATGATAATATTTGCGACGTCATGCGCCCTCCCTCTCCCCTCTCCCCCCCTGCGATGACGAGGCGGCCGTTCGTGTGATGGACCGTCCCTCCCGCAGTGCAGCAGATGCAGTCGGGCCCGCGGATCTCTCCTGGTGGCGGTGGCGGTGGTTGTCTACCTTTGGTTTCGTCGTCGTCTTCATCATTATGTTATTTGTCTTTATTATCGTCATCATCTAGGCTGTTCTTCATTCTCCTCTTCGTCGTCGTCCTCCGTCGTTATTTTTTTTTATTTCATCAATATATTTTTTTATCATCATCTTCGTCGTCATCATCTTTTTCTTTATTACCTTCCTCCTTTTCTGCAGCGTCATCACCTATCCGTCTTTTAGGGGCATCCAAGAATCAGGCGGAAGTTTGCATGAAGTACTTGAATGCCGTACATGTCGAGCCTCTACGCCCCTTTGCCGCGGCTCTGGTCAGAATTGTATGGCTGTTATTAATGGAAAATAATAGATAAATAGGTTTTAAAAAAAACATGAAGGGTTGATGGACTGGAGGGAGAGGGGGAGGGGAATCGGGAAGGGGAGGAAGGGGAATGGGGAAGGGGAAGGGAGTGAAGGGAGAGGGGAGCGAGAGAGGGGAGCGGAGGATGTGTTGGTTGCCGAACCGATTTGTTTGGCTTTATTCTTCTTTAAGACCATGCTTGTTCCTCTTGTCCGATTCCGTCATCTCCGACGCCCTCCAGGACTTGCTCTTCTTCCCCATCTTCTCCTTCCTTCTCCTCGTTCTCCACAACCACAACCTACTTTGGGTACGAATTGATACAACCGTTCCAGCCTTCTCGGTGACAGGCAGAGACAGACAGAGACAGAAAGACAGACAGACAGAAACACAGACAGACAGACAGACGGCATGATCTTCAGCCGCGTGTCGCATCGCCGCAAGATTCCAGCTGAGGCGGCTGCTCGGGGGCGGAGGGCGCTTGCTCCGGGCCCGCTCACTTCCTGCTCCATCGCGGGCGTGAGCGGCAGGCTCGGGTGTACGGGACTCGCATGCACGGATACAGAGTTGCAGGCGTGCCTGCGTTCATGCGCGTAGAGAAGCTTCGGGACGTGCTAGCTTACGTGTTTACATACACTCTCAGAGTAACGTTCAACCGGCACCACGCAGGCTTATGTTTGTGTATGATCGCGCCCACGCTGAGGCACACACGCCCACGCTGGGACTTGCTCTCCGACGCGCGTACACTCACGTACACGAACACGCTAGACGCTCATACGACTCACGACTCACGCAAGTCAGTCGGGCGGAATCCGATCCGACCGGCGAGGGAGTTCGGGGCGGCGTCGGCGGGCGATGTGGGGGGGGGGACCGGTCGGCGAACAGGAAGAGCGGGCCGACACGCGAGCAGGGAGGCATTTTGACATTGACATTGAAGGGGGTCGCCTTGTCACGGGAATGAGTATGTGCCTGAGGGATTTTTTTTCTTTTTTTTATGTTTTGTATTTTTTTCTTTTCTCTTTGATTGAGTCTAATTCGATTGATTCCTCGGCTTGGATGCCTGGCGCTGACGTTTAGTAAGGTTCTGAACGGTGGAAATTGGGAGAACAAGAGGTCTCTAAACAAACACAAGAAAAGATAAAGAAATAATCGTAAACGTCTCGGCCTATCTACCAGATCACACTACCTCCCCCCTCCCTCTCCCTCCCCTCCCTCCCCCCCTGACTTGTTCCACTCGAAGAACAACTTCGGGTCTTAAATCACCCGAAGTCCACGAACGACCCGTGCTGAGAGTGAGGTGCCGTGGGCGTCGGGCGGGCGGGCGGGAGGGCGGGCCGGGGCGTCGCATCGGAGAGGTGATCGCCCTCCCGCAGGATACTCTTGATAAGTTGCAAAGTTGCGGTTGCCAAGCCAGGACAACGTGCGGGGAGGAGGAGGAGGGGGGGAGGGGGGAGGGGGAGGGGGTGCAACGGTACTTTTGACTTTGCAATGCTCGTTTTTTTTTAAGGGGGGGAGGAGAGGAGGGGTGTTTCCGGAGGGCATTTGTGTGTGGGCGGCGGGCGTCGGATCGGGCCGAGGAGGAGGGGACGGGAGCGCGGGGGCGTGAGGTGAGTGCCGGCCTGACAGCAGCAAGAGTACCTGACGGGGGTGACTGGCCGTGATACCCTTGCCCCCCCCCCATCATCCTGCCCTCCCTTTCATGCCCCTTCTTCCTACTTCTTCTCCTTCCTCTTCTGTTTTGTCCTTTTCCTTGATTTTCATCTTTTCTTCCTCTAGTTTCGTTCTCGCTTTTTGTTTTAATCCATCCGTCTTTCTAACCCTTCCACAGCTCTTTCCATTTCCTTTCCTTCCCTCTTTCTAAGCTCTTCTCAGCTCTCGCCTTATCCTTCCCTTTCCTTCCCCTTCCTCTCCGTTCCGCCCTCCCCCCTCTCCTCCTTTCCCTCCTTTCCATCTCCTCCGTACCGACCCCCCCCTCCCCCCTTCGCGTGTAAATATCAAGTACCCCCCCCCCCCCTTCCTTTTAGTAAGACCGCCGCCCCCCCCCCCCCCCCCTTTCCCTTCCGGCGCCGTACCCCTGGAGTCTCGGGGTCGCTCTTCCTGTTCTCCGTCTAAGGCTCCCTTTTTTTAGTCTTTTTCTTTTGTTTTCTTTCTTTTTTTTTCTTTTTCATTCATTCGTTTCGCTTTTTTTTTTCTTCTACTTCTAAATGGGCTTTGTTTTTCGTACCTTTTGCTTCGCTTGTTTTCTCGCCATAAGCTTCGTCTGTGCTTAGTACAGGCTCGAACATTTCTCTCTTTTATGTTGCATTTTCTTGTTGATCGTCGCGGATTGAACGTATTTTTTTGTGTCTCTCTTGGTTGTTGCATTATGGGGTATTTCGTGTTTTTAGTCATGGGAGTTTCACCCATTCTCTCATCTTCTTTAAGTCTACCCTTCTCTGTTTACCTGTCTATCTTTCTTCATTCCTTTCTGTATTTTCTTTCTCTTCCCTCATTTGACGCTTTGTGTGTTCTCTTTTTCTCTTATGCTGTGTGTTTTTTCTCTCTATTTTTTTTATCATCCTCTTTCTCACGTTTTCTTACCTTCACATTCATCCATGTCCTTTTTATTTGCTTTCCCTCCCCTCTTCCTCCGCCTCATCTTGCTTTCCCCTTCTCCGTTTTTTTTATTTCTGTCGTTCTCCCTTATCATTATTCACTGTATAATGGGTAGGTGTGCGTGCGTGCGTGCGTTGATCGAAGTAGTAGCTCCTCCGGTTGGCGTGTTTGTGTTTACACTGTGGGGCGCTCGGGCACTCACCCCGTACTCTGCGGAGCGTGGAAGAGGCCTCTCTCTCTCTCTCTCTCTCTCTCTCTCTCTCTCTTTCTCTCTCTCTCTCTCTCTCTCTCTCTTCCTTTCGTATTAGTTTCGTTTTTATTTCAATTAATTTTTCTTTCATTTTTCTTTTTTCTCTCTCTCTCTCTCTCTGTGCCTTTATTTTTCTCTCTCTCCTCTCCTCTCTCCTCTCCCCTCCCTCTCTTCCCCCTCCCCCCTCTACCCTCTACCCTCTCCTCCCCCCGCCCGACTTAGGCCTTGGAGGCGAGTTGGCATTCCTTCGGCGGCACCGGATTTTAATTAATGTTTATGGAAGGGGGGGCAGGGGGGGGGTAGGGGTTGGGCGATCGGGTTGGAGGGAATGAGGGGGTTCGGGGTGGGGGTGGGGTGGGGGTGGGGGTGGGATGGGCAGGAGATAGGAGGCGGCGGTCTGTGGGGTTCCTGAGGGACTTTTCGAGCAGGTTGAAGTCTGAAGGGCAAGGGACAGGAGTGGGGGGGGGGGGGGTGCAGGGGAGGAAGCAGGGTAAGTGAGGACTACGTGGTCGTTTTCTCGTGGTCGTTCTAGTCGTCGTCGTCGTCGTCGTCAGTGGTCGTCTCTCGCGCCTCCTGAAGGGGCTCCGGGCGAGGTAGGCCCCACGACCCGATCCTCGTCCCGTTCCGCCTCGTCCGCTCGCCGTGCCTTCGGGAGGCGAGGGCCTGCTGTTGGAACGCCGCTCGTGCGCCTTGGGGGGGGGGGGGATGTAGGATATTCTTGGTAAAGGCCAGTCTCCCCCCACCCTCCTCTCTCTTCTCTCTCTCTCTCTCTCTCTCTCTCTCTCTCTCTCTCTCTCTCTCTCTCTCTCTCTCTCTCTCTCTCTCTCTCTCTCTCTCTCTCTCTCTCCCCTCTCCCTCTCTCCTCTCTCTCTCTCTCTCTCTCTCTCTCTCTCTCCCTCTCTCCCTCTCTCTCCTCCCTCCCTCCCCTCCCCTCCCTCTCTTTTCCTCTCCCTCTTTCTTTCCGTAGAAAGATGGAGCGAAAGAATTGACCTCTTCTCTTGTTTTGTAGCTACATTCCTCCCCTTCCTTCCTCAATTCTCTCTCCCTTCTTCTCATTCACCCTCCATTCCCCCCCCCTTTCTCTCTCGGGAGGGGGTACCGCGGCAACTCGTCCTCCTCCTCGTCTTTCTCCTCCGGGCGAGTAACGGCGCCCAGGACAGCCAGGCGAGGAGTGCCGGCCGCCTCGAGTGCCAGGGGGGGAGCAGCTCCTCCTTGAATTCAGAGTGGATCGGAGGCTGGTTTTCTGAGCCCCCCCCCCTCAATCCCTCCCTCCCTCCCTCCTCCGGGCGACAACGGTCACTCGATCTAAGTCCACGTCAACCCCCCTCGAAGAAAGA